CTAACCAACACCACCACCCTACCTACACACACACACACACACACACACACCCTCCTCTCTCTCTCTCTCTAACTTTATACTCCTATCCGGAAACACAAATGTCCACCCACAGACTCCTGTAGGCCATATGGCCCTGCCAGTATCAATGCTAATGCCTATGTTTGAAACACGTATTCCAGCTCGCTATTCTGCTCCTGTGCCCAGGCTCCATGTCTCCGATCATTCTGCATCCTGTTCCTTCATTCAAAGCGTCCTGGCTGAAAGGGCCTCAGGCACTTCTCCTCGCTAGGCCAGCCCCCAGGTGGCAGCAGTAGCAAGTGCGTGTTGGAGAGCTGTTGTTTGTAAGGGTACTTTATGCATAGGTGGCCGGGCTGGATCAACTGTAGGCCAGAACAGTCACGTTGGAATGAGGGGGAGGGAGGTGTGTTTATGGGTGACAATCTAGCCTCCCCAGAAGATAATATTGAACATCTCTGGGACGTCACCTTGACCTTAGAGCGGCATGGATTTGTAAGGCCTGACGGGACCATTATTACTTATTATGTATCATAGAATCATAGAATATCAGGGTTGGAAGGGACCTCAGGAGGTATCTAGTCCAACCCCCTGCTCAAAGCAGGACCAACCCCCAACTAAATCATCCCAGCCAGGGCTTTGTCAAGCCGGGCCTTAAAAACCTCTAAGGAAGGAGATTCCACCCCCTCCCTAGGTAACCCATTCACTGCAGGAGCCCCAGGACCTTACGGTGTGAGGTGCTGTCCAAACACAGAACGCCTAGTTGATGTCTTGCAGAACTCAGGGGCAATGTTTGCCAGCCCTCAAGCATTCCAAAATCATATCCCTGCCCCCAATCCTGAGATCGGTTTAACAACCATGAGATTTTTTTAGAAAGATAATAAATGGGGGAGGGGGGGGTTCTTTTTCTTTGCCTTCAGGTTGTACTTGCTTCTCAATGTCAAGCCCTCTAGGAGGGCTGGAAACGTCCTTTAGTTTTGGATAGAAAGCTGGGCGTCTCCTACAGCCTCTTGTGTCCAGCAGCTGGGGATTACATAGAACCCCAAATACCCCAATAACTAGCAACACTGGGATTTAAAGTCCTTCCTGCATCCAGCCCATATCTTACCGTTGGGCTAGAATGTAGCTATATATATAGTAAAAAACCCCAGACATCCAAATTTAAGGTCCTGTTGTTTATACATCCACCACCAGGCCTTCCTTGGGATTGGAAGCTTGGACCCTTAGCACCACAAGCCAGGATCATGCCACTCAGTCACCACACTAATGCCTGCCTAGGGATCATCCCTTCTACAGTGAAACTGGCCCCTGGGCAGAGGCCTAGATAGAAGTCCTGCTTCCACTGGGGGCACTAGCCCCGACACATGGCAATCAATGATGCTGCCAGCTGCAAGGATAAAATCAGAGAAGCTTTCTTTGATTTTTCTCTGGTGCTTCCAAAAAGGCAGGAAATGATGTTTGCCTTCCCTCCTGTGTTACCGGGCTTCAGGGTACTGTTTTGACCACTGACTTGGGGCAGACAGAACTTTAGTTTGACTTTACGTACAAGTTGGCTGGCTAGCTTGGGGGAACTGGGATGCCGGGGTTCCAGGCTCAGCTTTGATGCTACCTGGCTGGGCCGTTAAAGACCGGGGTGTGAGCCCTTGCGCTGGCAGACGACTTCCTGTGCAATCTCCGTGACTTGCCACGCTCTCTCTGTGCCTCAGTTTCCTCCATTTAGAAACTGGCCAGAAAGCCTGCCAGGTTTGTTCTCAGAATTCATTAGCGCCTGCAGTAAGTTAAGGCTGTTTGAGCATTTTCCATGGAGAAACGTCAAACGGCATTTAAATTGTCCATTTCATCTGAAAATTTTTGCAGGGTTTTTTTATGAAATGAATCAGAATGAAAGATTTTGGGAAGGTTTTAATAGAAAACCTTTCCCCCTCTGCCCTTCTTTCCCCCCTGGAAAAATGGAGGTGGGAAAGGGGGCGGGGTTCCAAAAAGCAAACAAATAAATTTTTGATGTGAAAACAAAAAAATCTTTGTTGTGATTAGTTTCAGCAATTTTTTTTGACGATTCACCATCCCTTTCCCCCCGCCAAAAAATGTTTGTTTGCTTTGAAAAGAACTTCCAGGCAGCTCTCACCTGCAATGGGCGTTCCGGGCAGAACACGGCTGAAAGTGGTGACTAGCTCTTGGACCAGCCCTGAGCACTGGAGTGAATTTCACCCTGGGTTAGCTGGCCCCGCTGAGGGGGTAGGTGCTGCTTTCCCTTCAGCCTGGAACCTGCCGGCTTTGCGGTGAGGACACAGGCTCAGCCGCTGATAGTCCTCCAGTGCCTTCCCACAATTCCCCCTGTGTACCCGGAAGGACAGACAAGTTCTCTCCCGGCTCCATGGAGAAGAATCGTCGAGCAGCACAAAGAACCATGGGACGTGCCCTCACAAGTCCTAGCCCCACGCACGCCGCGCAGTGCTAGTGAGGACACAGGCACGGCTTTGCAGTGAGGTTGCTCCCTGGGCTAGGCTGACCCGGGTGCCAATCACCCGAATTAACTCCTGGGATGCTTATGCCATGGCTGTCCCCTGGGGATTGACCCGGGGACCTCCCTGGCTAAAATCATGAGCTGCTAGAGATAGAGCTTCCCAGCTGCAGGCTACTGATGGGGATCTCTAACACCCTGACCAGTGGGTTATGTTTGCACCTGGGGGATAAACTGGACTCGGTAACTGTGTGTGGCTGGGAGGAACAGTATGAAATGAACCTTGTCACCAAACCAACGTGAGCAATGTGTTCCCATCGTAGGGGGCGCACCTGCTCCCTTGCTAGGTAGCTATGGGCATGTTAATTTCAAATGCAGAGCACCCCGGGCGGTTCTGTTCTGATCCGCTTTGTTTTAAGCAGTTTCAGTGACTCAAGAAAAAATCTTGTTGGGGTTTCACTGTAGGGTTCTCCCGCCCCAACTGCCCAGCGCTGTTCACTTGTTGGTACAAACCAGACGCGTGGGAGCATCTACGGGCCCAGCGGACGTGTGGCTTCGGCACTGGCGCTGTGCTGGTATTAACTCGGACGAGCGGGAGTTCAAATGGGGTCGTGGCTTGACAATGTTCCTCCAGTGTGGACAAGCCCAAGGTGGCTCCACAGTCAGGGTGGGTTAGTTTGTCCCTTCCCCAGCCCTGGGCACAGGTCTGGGAGCAGGACCACCTTCCGGGCCGGGCACAGACCCCTATATCATCCCAGCCAGGAAGGGAGGGAGGAAGAGGCCGATGGTCCCCAGCAAACAGACGATGATAAACATCCAGAGGAATATCCGGTCTATTACCATAGCAACATACTTCCAGTCCTCCTTCACCTGCAGGCAGACAAGAGTCAGAGTGAGATGTGGGGCCCGAGAGCAGCATGGGGCCACGGGAGGCCCCGGCAGCCTGGCAGAGAGGCAGGGGTACTAAAGGGTTGTTGTCCTCGTAGTGTGAACCGGGGGCAGCAGAACTGTGCGGACTCGCCCTCAATCAAACTGCACTTGCTAGGCAGGGGGTGGGGGTGCCAAAGCCCAGTGAGTTGAGAGAGGGTGGGGATAGGTAGTTGTTCTTAGTGGTGTGGGTCCTAGGTACCACCTGACCCTTTCTCTGTCCACTGTGTAGTAACAGAGCGGGTAAAGACTGAATTGAAAATTCTAGTCATAGAATATCAGGGTTGGAAGGGACCTCAGGAGGTATCTAGTCCAACCCCCTGCTCAAAGCAGGACCAATCCCCAACTAAATCATCCCAGCCAGGGCTTTGTCAAGCCGGACCTTAAAAACCTCTAAGGAAGGAGATTCCACCACCTCCCTAGGTAACCCATTCTGGTGCTTCACCACCCTCCTAGTGAAAAAGTTTTCCCTAATATCCAACCTAGACCTCCCCCACTGCAACTTGAGACCATTGCTCCTTGTTCTGTCATCTGCCATCACTGAGAACAGCCGAGCTCCATCCTCTTTGGAACTTCCCTTCAGGTAGTTGCTATCAAATCCCCCCTCACTCTTCTCTTCTGCAGACTAAATAATCCCAGTTTCCTCAGCCTCTCCTCATAAGTCATGTGCTCCAGCCCCCTAATCATTTTTGTTGCCCTCCACTGGACTCTTTCCAATTTTTCCACATCCTCTTTCTAGTGTGGGGCCCAAAACTGGACACAGGACTCCAGATGAGGCCTCACCAATGCCGAATAGAGGGGAACGATCACGTCCCTCGATCTGCTGGCAATGCAGCCCTACTTATACAGCCCAAAATGCCGTTAGCCTTCTTGGCAACAAGGGCACACTGCTGACTCATATCCATTTCATAATGGACCAAAGTGTATCAAGCCACTCACAACACAATGGATCAGCAAACCCCATAGTTCACACATCTCCAGTCTCCTGCGCTTCCTCAGCTCACAGCAGAGCCTCCTGCCTCGGGCAGTCTGTGCTACCCTCCCCACTCCCCCCTGCAGCTTGTGCTGCCTTTTATATTGGGGCTCCTCAGGGCTGGCTTGGGGTTAGGTCAGGACAGGGACCTTGGGACAGGTCGGAAACGTCTTTCCTCTCAAATGTTCCGAGTCACAAACTTTGTCAGCACAGACCCTGGGACGTGACGTTTCGGTTTTGATGAATTGGTACTGGTGGCGGGCGGGCGAGGAGGGTGGTTTGTGAAAAAATCCCCGCTCTCCTTGGAAGCTGTTCAATTCCTGCCCCTGCACTGGCTACTTGGGCAAGTCACCTCGTCTCTCTCCCTCTGCCTTAGTTCCCTGGGGCTAACAACCTCCCTTGCATCTTAGGAGAGGATAAATACCCTGAAGGAAGCAGTGTGAGAACAGAGCAGCGAGATTAGACAATACTCCCCTCCTAAGACCGCTGTTCAGGGGCAAATCAAACCGGCTCTGAGGGGGAAATGCAGGAGCAACGACTGAGGCCCTGCAGAATTGGTCTATCCAGTAGGGTTACCATCCATCCGGGTTTCCCCGGACATGTCTGGCTTTTTCAGTGTTAAATGGCCGTCCAGGGGGGATTTCTAATCAAGTAGAAATGTCCGGGATTTCCCCCTTCCCCTCATGCGGAGTGCGGCGCAACTGATTGGACGCCTGGCCTGATTGAAAGCCGCTCGCAGCCACTAGGGCCTCTAGCAGCCAGAGTCCCTCCCCCTCCCCCGCTCCCGCCTCCCCCACAGAGCAGCGCGGCTGTGTTTGATTCCACGTGGAGCCCGCAGCTCTCCCTCTGCCAGGTGAGCGGGGGGGA